GGAATTTATGCCGTTTTTTACAATGTTCAAACAATCCTTTCTCTTGCAATATATTACCAAATGCTACAGCATTTTCTCTTGTCTCAATATCATGAAAATTTTTAATCAACCAATTAACAAACTCGTTACCAACAATGGCATTCGGATATGTTTTGAAATGCCATCGTCTATCCTTCACGATTCCGTTAACAGGATCTAACATTGCTTGTGCTATCAATGTCAAGCTACTATCTTTACTAAGGTGTTCCTCCGCCTGATGGACTGACTGCCGTCTAAATGTTATGTCATCTAATGATTTAATATACACTGATGGATCCAGTGTCATGACTTTTAATAATGAAATGATTTCTGGCTTACTTCTTCTATTATTAATATTATTGCTATTGTTAGCATTAGTAGTATTATTATTATTATATGGTTCTGTTTTTTCACTTGATGATGTCCATGTTGATCTTTTAAACATTTCCAAAAATTTAAAAATTCCCTGGACTCTTGTTTCCTCTTCATCAAGATTATCATTTGAATTAATTGACGGATTGTTTTCTAAAGGGATTAGAATAAATCTTGTCCTCCAAAACTTCAATGGCTCCAACAAATCATACTGATAACCACATACCAATTGATCCACATAATTCCATTTATAATCTATATTAGGATACCCAAACATTACCTTTCGATTCTCATAGAAATTTTGACATTTTGGCCAAACAACACACGAGTAAGGTACTGGACAGGCTTTGTAATGTATTTTCCTAACATATCTTTTAACCTCAACGAATGGGCCTGTTGGATCATATGTCAATTTATGCACTTGTCTGCCCATACTAAGATAATATGAATTTGACAGTTTTAATTGTGAATGATTTTCCTCGACTTGATTTCCAACTGTTGTATTTTTCCAATTCAATGATTTTGTAACATTATCTATATTAATACTGACAATCTCATCGATTAAATTTTTTGATGTCAAATCACCATTAACATTATTATTAGAGTTGTTTGATAAACTTGCAAAAGAGGGCACAATCAATTGATACCCCTGAGACAATCGTTGTGAAATCATTTCTTTCAATAATATTTTAGTTCTGACT